CTATCTGTTAATATTCCCTTCAAACTATTTACCATGTCAACTTTTATTTTGTTTCCAGGTCAGTTTTGATTGTTTTTAAAAATCTTGTGCCATGCTCTGGTCAGGCATTTGATAATAGGATAGAAAATGTAACTTCAGCTATGTCAGCAAGTATTGGGTAGATTGTCCCAAATGATATCATTAGTTCTCGGGTGCTTGTCACTCATTAGAAGATTTAATATTCTGGAATAGCAGTTTTCATATGTAAAAAAAAAGGCATGGCTTTGAATTTTCAATGTCTTGAGTTCAAGGTGATTGTCTCGAGATTAAGTATGTGTTTTTTTTTCACCCTACAGTTTAAATTTTATTTGAATAACCTCTAGAACATTCTAAAATTTAATAAATTTCTCTATCCTAACATTCTATAGACTCAGTCCATCAGACTGACCTTCTAACCACCACAGATAAATTACCTCCTCGCACATTCTCTCTTTTGTTTTTTAGAGTGACTGAAATTGTAACAGACACTTATACTATTTATTTTTAGAGCCAAAGGTAACATACTCTTTCATTTAGTTTACTTGCTTTAAAGTTGCATTTAAACTCTCTCTCATTTACAGCTATAACAATTTTTGTCAAACAGCTTTGTGTAAACAATAAATCTAGTTACCAGCATGCTCATGTTGAATTACACAACCACTCTTGTGGCTTAGCATGTGCTATCATTGATCATGAATACTTTGTTTATTTAATTTAATTTAAAATTTATCTGATGTAAAAGTTCCTAACTTTTACATTTTAATTAACTTTTATAACAATAAATAAAAAACTTAGCAAATAGAACTGAAATTTTGTTATTCTCAAGCTTTTGTAGTCGTGCACTGAAGTCTTTTAAGTGAAACACTAGGCCTTATTCTTCAGAAATTTAAAATTCAAATAAATATTGCCATGCATATGAAATAGAATGAGCTGAAATTAATATAATTTATCAGGCTTTTTATCTGAACTAAAAATGCTTTACTAATTCCCATACCTGATCAGGATGTGTTCCAGCAGTAGGAAAATAAAGAAAACATTGTTAAGGTGTTGATATCTTATTGGAACAGTTTTAGGCCCCATAGATGTCAGTAAACTGAACGTTTGGCTTTCTATTGGTTACAAATAATCTAACAGCAAATGTCAGAGAGAATTTGATGAATTTTCAAAGCAGGATGTTCTGCATGGGGTATGACATGTGTTTTTTGCTTTTATATATATATTTTTCCCCCCATAAATCCAAAAGCTTTGCTGCTACAAATTGAGTGTTTAGCTTGAGGGTATGTTAGTTTAAGGGAGAAATTCTACAGGCAGTTACAAGGTTATGTAGGGTGGGACAAGAAAATTAAAAATATGGAATTTAGGAATAAGTAGCAGGATACAGACAAGTGAAGATGTAGAATTTGTTTGAATATTTCCTTTTGAAATTAAGAAGCTAAAGCTTGTATAATAAAGTTTGAATTATAAACCACTTTTTGATGCTAAGTGTATTGATGTACATTGATAGTAAAGTAGTTTAAGTTTTTAATGTAACTGTAAAAGATTGTGACATGCACTTTCACCTACCTTTGTTCAGAGAGTCAACATGGCCCATCATTACAGAAGCATTATGAGTGCAGACACTACTTAACTAAACTTATTTGATTATCTGACACTTCAGTGATTGTTTCAGCATTCGGCAAATTAATTCACTTGGAGGATCTATAAAAAAAAAAGATTCTGGTGGCTATTTCTTAAGTATTACAGTGGTTTACATTGTGGATGAAAGTAACTGTTAGATCTATGATACCAAATAGACTGACTGGTGGCATGAATAAGTAAACAGTAAACACTTAATCTGTGAAATGTTTGTATGATTAGAACTTCAACAATGCAAAACAGAATATTGTTGGTGATCTACCTGATTTTCTCAGCCTGTCCTCTTTTACCAGTGTAACCAATGATAACAGCTTTGATGTGGTCATATTTTCCTCTGTGAGACAATAGATGTTTTAAATTCACTAAGCATTACTTCATCTCTGGCACTTTGTTGTTGTTCTACTTGTTTCTTAAAAATTGATAATTTGCTGCAAGGTTAAGCTTCAAGAGCAGCTTTATCTGCTAAGATTTGGCATGATCCAGAACTGCAGATTTCTTCTGTATTTTGCTGTTCTTATTAGCATACTGATTATCATGTTATTTTGTCACCTGTACTAGATTTTGCTTCATGTGCAGAATGAAAATGATCCCTTATTTATCAGATTTATATCCAGTCTCTTTAAGTATGAGTCAAAAGGTTCCTGTTTTCTCACAAAATTATAGTAATGGGATAGGGAAAAAGACAAATTTTAGCATAATCTGCTTAGCAAAAAACAGTCGAGTGATCTGTGACATTGGGCATCATAGCAGTAATAAAAACTTTGGTAAATGAAATTAGGGTAGCTTGAAGTGAACATGTGCATAGGAAGTAGCATTTGTCATGGTGTGTCCAAGAGGATGTCATGTGCCCCTTGCTGTTGAGTCCCTTTCACAGGAACTGGGCTTCCTTTGCATGAGAGGCACCTCAACTATAGTGGACTGTCATGGAGGCTATGGTGGTCCAGGATTGGCTAAATTTTTTACCAGAATTAGTTTTAGAGTACTGCTGTTGACCATCATCTATATAATTACCATGAATTATTGATTAGGGAAATACTGAGTTAAAGCTTTACATGTGATATATATTAAATGCCTAAACCTCACTGTCTGTATCAATATAAAAATTGTTTTGCTTATTAATTAATACATATATGCACAGCAAAGAGAGAAGGTTGCACATCATTATATGAAAGGTCTTGTGCATGGTAAAAAAACTACATTTCTGATTGCAGATGAGAATCTTATTTTTGTCCTACCTATTATACTTACAAATGTTTAAGTCAAACTGTATGTCTAAAAAAATTTTCCTTGTAATTTCTTCCAAATTATCAGAGTTTCCTTATTATTTGTTATTCTTAATTTCTGTGAACTAGGTTATCACAAGTCCATGTTTGGGAAACACTGTAGTAGCACATATAGTGCATGATTGTATTGGACTAACCATGTGACAGTGGTTGGTTAAACCAGAAACATGTCTGACTGATTACATGTAAATGGTTTCATAGAACACTGTCTACAGTGTTAAGCCCAATATATGTCACTGTAATTGTCTTGCGTACAAATGTTATTTATAGTCGCTTTGTTATATATATAATTTTAAAATTTGTCTTAAAAGCCCACTTAACACGTGAATAAGATAAAATCATGAACTCAAGTTTTTCCAATAGTAATAGCAATTTTATAACATGGGAGTTACTACTCCTCAGCTGACAACAAACCATTTTTTTAAATTCTTTTACTGAAACATTTCCAACAAAATTCTTGCTCTGTTTAGACTTAATATAGCCAACTTGTACAAAAGTTATAAACTAAATTACATTTTCTGGTATAGCAAATTATTTTAATACACAAATTATGTCATAATGCTTATAATATTGCACCAAAAACAAAAATAGTATAATAATTTTATTTTGGTGATGTGGAGAACTGAAAAGATTTGTAAAAATGAATTACAAATCTTTTCAGTTCTCCACATCACCAAAAGATTTGTAAAAATGAATTACGATTTAGTACTGTCTCTGGCACCAATGTTCATGTACCTGACAGAACAATTCGTAAGCATTTTTAATGCTCATTAGGATTATAAGTCATGGCTCTAAGTTACTAATTTTCACAAAAAGATATTTAGCTTTGAGAGGAATTTAAGATTACAGAAAAAACCAGAATAATGGATGACTGAATGACATTCTAATACTTTCATTTAGTCATTAGAAAGTATCTGGTTTGAAACCAGATATTGAGTCTTTAAAAGTTGAAAAAGTTCTTGTGTCAGAAATAGGCATGTATCAATAAAACATTGACAGACATATGCCTTTGTGAAAGAGGGGGTGAGTGTAGATTTGCAGGTGCTCTTTTTTAGATGCTAAAATTATTAGTGTTAGCTTATATTTTATGTTACATACTTATTCTGCCTTAATACTTCTTTTGCATCTTGTATGCTAAGCATGTAATACTTTTTATTGAAGGATTGTAGCTGCTGAAGCACCCGCTACACTAATCTGTAATGGTTTGCTCCAGTGAAAACTGCAGCAGAGAATAAGGTCAACATAAAAAGTTTTACTGCATGTATTTTGACCTTGTAAAATTATATTCTTTAACACACCTTGTAGAAAAAGTAAAATTTGTGCAGGATGAGTAAAAATTTGTCACTTGCCCTGCAGGATGAGTGACCATTTCAAAAGTTTTTCAGTCCCTATCTGAGGTGGAGATTTCCCTCATGAAGGAAACGTTAATTTTACAGAAACAAAAATTCATATAAATGACCACTTTGTGTTAGTTAGCTCTTAGGAGCTAGGATGATCACCCATCAAGTTAACACAATTTCATTGTTGTTAATACATTATTAATTCTAACTAGAATAAGAATGCTTTTCTTTCTTACTGTATTCTTCCCTTTATTTTTCTTATAGAGGCAAAAAGCAAGGCTGGGTGGAAATTTTAGTTTATTCAGAAAAAGAAACTACAACCCAGTGACATCTGTTGGTATAGTCATTGTTCTCCAGTGTGTGTGTGTAAAGATTGCATATTATGCTGTATACATTTCCAAATATTATGTCAAATAAAGCTTGTTTCATTGTGAAGGTAATTAGGGTATGTGACCTGAAAATCTGTGATTTTGCAGTATTTCCTGATAACTGTCCAGTTTCAAATTCAAAGATAATGCATATATGCTGCTCAACCTCATTATTAAATCTCCAATATATTCCTGATAATGTCTTTCAGAGCAGAAATACTTCTAAATTGGAATATGTAGCTGATTAGGATATAGATTATCTAATAAAAGCTGTTGTATATCATTGTTCAGTGAAATATTTTCTCATATCTACACCTTCTGTTTTTATAGACTTTTACCCTTTTTTTTTCTCTTAGTCAAAATGCGGCAGGATCAATTTGAAGGACAGAGAAGTGTAATTGGGGATAAATATGATCAAATATTGAGGCATCCTGGTGAGAAAGGTAAGGCCAGGAAAATATTTCAGACTTAATCTTGTGTCAAGTTTAGACATGACTCATAGTCCGTTATGGACTGGAGGGGTATCACTGATATCCTCAGGTTTATCTCACAGTGGAAATTGTTATTGAAATTGCATGAACCTTAAAACAAAGGTATTAAAATTATGTAGTTTCAGCTTAAAAAATCTGATAATTTAATTTATCTTTCTCTTATTTTATTTTGTGAAATTTCAAAAATTTTACCTTTTTTTTTTTTAAATAAACAAAAAAAATATGTGTACTTTTTATCATCTTAGAATCCATTATTTTTATTGCTCATCACAAAGATCTATTTCATATACCCAGTAAATTTAAATTATACCTTTATTTTGCTGGTTGTTGTAGTTATCATTTCTGGCTATAAATCATAAATGCACAAATTGGCAAGCATTTATTGGTGACCTTGGATCTGACCTTGCAAAATGGCTTGAGGTTAGGCTGTGTGGCAGTATTTTTTGTAACTGTTCTTGGTCAAGATAATTTTTAATACATGGTTTCTCTTTAGTAAATAATAAGTCATATATTTGCTTTGTTTGAAAGTGATAATCTTAACACTAATATTCAATAAATAAGTCGTGGAGCATTTTGTATTTGCATGCTATACCTGCTAAACCATACTAAGCTTACCTGGTGTCTTACCATAGAAAAACATTTTCTGTAAACCATTTTCAGGAACAAACATAATGTCTAACAAAAATAATCTCATATGTGTGGTTTATTTCTAAGCCTGAACTTTTTGTTAGATTCCAGTGTTATTCCTGGAGGAGCTTCTGATAGTCAGTAGTTTGAGAAACCACAAAATATTGTTCAAAGTACTTTTTTTAATATACATTGCCATGAACAATTTATAACCTATTCTATCCAATCCTATTTAATTGTTGGCTATAGATATTTTCAAAGTTGAGCTTCATTAACAATTATTCAGACCATATGCAATGTTGTGAGCTCAAAGAAGGGCTGCAAAAAAAAGGCTGTAGTAAAGACACGACTAACTAATCAAATTATAAACAAGACATGGATGATTGTATATTCAAGGAATGATAGCGTTGTAAAAAATATAGACCTATACTTTGGAATGGGCAGAAAACATTAAAAAAATTGACAAAAGTGATATTTCTAGGAGAAAATCTTTGGAGCTGTTCAGAAATGTAAATTTCATATTTCTTTGCAAATTACACTAAATAAATTTTAAAATAGCAAAATATAAATCCTAAAGTATTTGTATTAAAAGTTAAAATTAAATGAGAATTATTTTTTTTACTTACATTTTAAATGCGAATGTACACTTGACACCTGAAATGTCCACAGCTGTCATGATAAGGTAAAGTTATTACCATTTTCTTCTGATTTGGCACAGGACTTTAACATGTTTTGAAAATGAGTAATTACAGACAAGGTCCTGAAAACTGATTGTATTACTATGAATGTTAACTACATATATTCTTCTGCTTGTGGGTTTGAAAATTTTTGATTGATCTTGTCCATTTTTTTCTTTTGATTTATATTATAGCAAAAACACATATTAAGAGAGAATTCTGTTACATATAAACTTTGCTTTAAATGTTAAATATGTAATTTTTGTAGCAATTGTATTTTGTGATTGTATGTTTAACTGCTTCTTCCATAGTGGACAGTCTGTTTTCATACTTATAAATTTTCATTGAAGAAGCTGAAACAAAAAGAGATACAGGACTTTAATTTTTTTTAATCTGCTCTGTTGATAAGAAGTCATTATTTTTCAGGTTCCAGGTCAGGATATTTAACTCATTTCAGCCTGATGACATTATATTGTCATTTCTGTATTTGCAATTATAAAAAGTAACTCATAAAGGTCACTGTATCTGAAATGTAAACTTTCAGATATAAAGCTTAATAACCATTGAAGGTTTTGAACCTAAATTTGATTGCTTTGATAAATTTACATTTTAAAATGAAATAAAAATCACTATATAACATGATGTATAAGTAGTTGTGTATTCTGAAGCCATTTTATCATAACCTATATAATTTTGTTGCTAAGCGATATGACATAAAAGCCATTATTGGAATGCATTGTTACCGAAATGCACTTGCTTTTCTATATATTAAAAGTTGTTGTTTAAGGAACCACTTCTTTCCTACGTGGTTTTTCACTAGCTTGCCTCATTAAAAAGAATTTACCAAAGTTTGACTGCCTCAATTACACTTTTCTGCCTATTTGTTGGTCAAGTTTGATTTCACAAAATTTATTTATTTTAGTTAGCGATGAAATTTGAGGTTAGGGTATACTATGGTAATTTTTGTTGGGCTATATACTAGTAACAGTTAAATACCATTATAACATCCATAATAGTTTAAAAAACTGCTATAACATTCCATAATTGTTCAAAAATCACTATAACATTCCATAATAGTTAAACAACCACTATAACAACCCATAACTGTTAAAAAACCACTATAACTTAATAGTTAGAAAATACTATAACATCCCATAATAGTTAAACAACCACTCTACAACAGCCCATAACTGTTAAAAAAAACGCTATAACTTAATAGTAAGAAAATACTATAACATCCCATAATTGTTCAAAAATTACTATAACATTCCATAATAGTTAAATAACCACTCTATAACAGCCCATAAATTGTAAAAAACCACTATAACTTAATAGTTAGAAAATACTATAACATCCCATAATAGCTAAAACACACTAACATTTCATGGTGGACACATTTCTATGTGGTTTTTCACATAAAAAGATGTGCATGAATGCATGTAGATAAGTAATAATATATAGAAAAGGAAGTTAGAAACTGAATTACATATCTAAAATTTAAATGCCTACAAATGAAAACTTACCACACAAGAAAACTTTTTTTGTTATTTCAAAGCCTTTGATCCCATTCCTAGGACTACTATCAGGCTAACTGAGCAATATGCTAATTGTAAACTCTCAAGTTAGTGTTAACGGTTAAGACATGCGCATGTATCAAGATATTCTAAAGAGTGTTACAGGTTAAAAGACGTGTTTTTACTTGTTACAAACATCCCACAATAGTTAAACACGCTATAGTGTCCTATAATAGTTAATATTATCCTATAACATCCAATAATAGTTAAAAACTACTAAATCCTCATAGTTTATATGTTATTTTCTCTGTCCTGCCTCAAAACAGGATCGGTCAATTTGACCGACCTCGTAACCACCCCAAAAATTGAAATAAACCTAAATTAACCTTATTTTCTTTCTAGTATGACTTCAATTTGTAACATGAAACTATATTCGTTTATCCTAAGTAGCTCTAAGTTCATAACATTATTCATCTATTTATAATTAAGTTTTATTGTTTTATTGCCATTTGAACCGCGTCTAACTGCTAACCGTGCCATTAGAAGTTGTAAATCACTAAGGGAACGTGCAGCTCACGTTACGCTATCGAATTACATTACCCAAGAGCTGCTCACATGCGTGCTTCGTGAACAATTTTAATTGTAGTATTATTATTACTTATTCCTATTCTAGTCTTAAATAACTTAAAAGATCCATACTTTTAATTTTAGTTACTTGTATAATAATAAATAAAGAATAAATATGAAAAACAAGAAATAAAGTACTTACCCAATCTTATTTTTTCTTTGCCCTAGATTGTCGAGGAGAATTAAGCCTGATTTTTTTTAGTGATTATAGTAAAGCACTTAATTTTTATTTAATTAAATAATACACCAAAGAATATAGACTAACAACATGCAAAAAGTAGACAAATTCACTTCCAAAAATTTTCCTGGCTTTCTAACTATTCAACAAGAGCTGTTACAAATTCATCCAAGCTTGTCGTTAACTTTCCCATGGGAACGATGTTGCTACTCAGAGTGAAATTGACGGTTATCTGTTCAGAATACAATGTTGAAATACTCTATAAAATCATTATTGCTCAAACAGACCATAATTTTTATAGCCTTCAATTTTGTTTGGTTACAGAGCTATCAAATAGAAAATCAGACCCCTCCTGCTTCACCCACTTGTCACATCCTCTCTTTCACAATTCGTTGATAGTTCTGTCTTACGTTTCATTATATATTACCTATAACCAATAGAAAGTCAAGGTTTTCATCTATCAAATGATGTACTGTAACGACACAAGGTTTTAGTGTCTTACATTCAAAATTTTATTAAACTACTTTTTGTTTAAAATAGCATAAAATCTTAGCTAATAATCCATATTTTAATACTATATAAATTTTAAGTTCTTAATTCTAAAAGGAAATATATATAAAAAAATCCTGAATTTCAACTAGTGTAACACACGACACATTTTGTCTTAGCATGTCATCATCCCTATTTTATCCATCACCCCTTGAAAATGTACAAAATTAAACATGGCAGTAAAGGGTACCCAGGGCGATAGGGTTAAAGGCTTTATAAGTTCAAAGAAAAATCTTTAGTAAAATACTAAATTAGAAACCTAGATTTTTTTATAACAAGAGATTTATTATGTTCACTAAAAGCTTGCCAAATTTTGTGAAGATACTATAACTGAATTTACTAAATGTATGTATAATTTCACAGTTTCTGTTAAGGTACAGAAAATAACAAATGTAAAGTTTAGCTGGAAAAAACCTGATTTGCATTTTGGAAATCAGAGGTTATGCAAATTAAATATGAAAAGCATAAGATGAAAAAATCATCTTGCACTCAGACTGACGCAGTAAAGGCTTCAGAGACAAATCTGTAGTAAAAATAAGATTATGTACACCAGAAGTAGAATGTGTGGTAAAAGCTTGCTAGGTTCTGTGAAGCTTTACCTAAAGCAATTCTGACTTATAATATGTTTTGTCCCATTGAATGGTGGTTACAAGGTTG